CCGCTTGTTCATCTTCAAGCTTTTAAGACCCCAGACACTATCTTTTGATAGCCGGGCACCATCAGCTTTCTTCACCACATTTCTTATGTTCACATTTTTCTTCAGCAATCATGTCGGGAAGGTGCAGCATCCTGGAATGCCAATTTAATAGAACAATGTGTTCTTGCATTAAGTAAGTGCTTGAGTGGAGGCCCAAAGTCTATCTGCTGCCTTAATACTAAACTTATAAATATATGCACGTAGATCTGTTTCCCCACACTCTTATATAAATATATTTACAGAGGTACATTCCAGTCTTTAGACCTCTATAAATACCCTTTGTCACTTAGTTCTTTCCTCTATTTCCTTTTACTTTCCTCTTGTCCCACTAGCATGCTCAGCCTTCGTTTGGGTTTCAGTGATTTCTCTCGGTTACATTGCCCTTGCTGAATCCCTACTGGGCCTCTCACATCCCTCTTGCCACTGATTTTGGATCACTTGTTGCTACCCTGTCCCTGGGTTGGTCAGCACCACCTCCTTACCCCCGCCTCCCTCTCTCCCATGTGCCCCTGGAACCATTGTTCCCGTTATTTTCTCCTCCAGACTATTCATCCAGTCTATCCTATCTACATAGGTCTGTAGAGATAATAATATGCACCAAAATTCAAGCCATAGCAAGATAGGCAATGAGTGAGAACACAGCAATGACCACAAAAAAGGAAACCAATTACCCATAGAAGAATAAATTAATTAAAAGAGAACATTTTAAAAAAGAAAGACAAACCTGTAAATAGATCAAGGTCTGATTTTTTATCTCTAGGCGTGTCCTTCTGTCAGGTTCGATGGGGTGCCATGCGCTGGCCCCAGAGTCTGTCCTTTGTACAACCTCAGGGGCTCCCTGCTCTGCTCCCAAGGTTGCTCTGCCGCAAGCTTTTAGTGATTTGTCTCGGTGTCACAGGGTCAGTCTGGGCCAGTCCTGACACTAAATCTCCAGTATTGTCCCCCTTAGGGCTCTGGGCCATCAAGGGA